GACGAAGGAACATAGGCAAACAGAATCGTAATATAATTGCGCGTCCCTCAGACTAATTTTCTTCCAATGATCCTCTTGATGTAATATGGCTCTCTAGGATGATGACGATGATGACGACGACGATGAAGATGATGATAGGGGCGGGATGATCACGTACACAGACACACACACATACACACATTTTTACGTGCACGCACACACATTCACGCACACAGATACAAACATGCTCGGTTAAACAAATATAAAAGCAATCAAAACATTAAACATACATACAGACAAACACACACATACATACATAAATACATACATACATACATACATACATACATACATACATACATACATACATACATACATACATACATACATACACACAGACATACATACATACAGACATACAAACATACATACATACATACAGACAGACATACAAACAAACAGAAATACATACAGAAAAATGAAAGTCGATACGCAAAAAAGCACGTTCAACAAATGATGGAGAGGAAGATGAGGATAAAGATGATGAGGAAGATGATGATGACGATTACGACGATGACGTTATTATTATTATTATTATTATTATTTTTATTTTATTTTAATATTCAAATTTTTTTTTCGACATAAAATACTACAACGCCAAAATTTTATGAAATAATTTACTACAATCGTTATCATCATCGTTATTATTATTGTTGTTGTTGTGTTGTTGTTGTTGTGTTGCTGATGTTGTTGTTGTTGTTGTGTTGCTGATGTTGTTGTTGTTGTTGTATTGTTAGTATTGATCTACGCAGATTAGATTCCAACTGCAGCAAATACCTTCCAGTATCACCAGACATACTTGCAAACATACAGTTAGGCATAGACAGAGACAGACCCAGACATACAGACAGAGACCTTCCACCAGTATCACCTCTCTCCAAGTCACTTCGTCCAGATATTGCCATTCGGCAAGGTGATACCTTCGAAATACTGGAATTAACAGTTTGCAACGAATCTAACTTCTTAAATCTAAGGAATATAAAACTTCAAAATTCTCTCAAAATCTTATTTACAATTTGATAGACAAATTGAATAACTCAAACTTCATAATACTTTCAAAATCTTAATAACAATTTGATAGATAAATTAAATGGCTCAAATATCAATGATATTTGAAATTTCCCCGATATGTTTTTTTAAATATTTTAAACTATAATTAATTAATTTGATTTAGCAATTTACTTTGATAGGAACACGATTTGAACATAATTTAATGCTGATTCTATTTCTCTCTGTGTCAATTTAAAATGTATGGCGAGCATTGTAGAATATCTACAATAATTTACACTATAAGTTTTATTACTCTAACTTTATAATTACAATGTGGGCTTTGAAATGAAAGTGAAAGTAAATGTTTTCATTATTACCATCATCACCATCATCATTATCACAACAACAACGACACCAGTAGCAGCAACATCATTACCATTACTGCTTCCTCAATCATCATCATCATCGCCATCATCATCGTCATCATAATCGAATTTTCTCATCATCATCAACATCATCCTCATCATCTTTTTCTTCCTCCTTATCTTTTTCTTCCTCATCATCATCATCAACAGCATCATCATCAACACCATCATCATCATCTTCTTCTTCTTCCTCTTCTTCTTCCTCATCATCTTTCTATCCCTCATCATCATCAACACCATCAACAACATCATCATTATCATCATCATCATCAACATCCTCATCATCAACATCATCATCGTCGTCGTCATCT